CTCCTTTTATGTATCGAGATACATACATATATGTGTATGTATGAAGGTGCTGAGACAGCTGGATCTCCACATGCAAAAGAAAGAAGGTAAGCTTGCATCTCACAGCAAAAGGGATTTTTAAAGACTTAAACTTAAAAACTAAAACCATAAAAACTCTTAGGACAAACATAGGAGTAATGCTTCAAGACCTAGTTTTCAATGAGATTCTTATCTATAAACACCATATCTAAACACAAGCAAAAAAAAGACAAAAGAGATAAACTGATTCTTATCAAAATTTAACTTTTATGTATCAAAGGACTTTATCAATAAAGTGAAGAGACAATCTACAGATTAGAAGAAAATATTTGGGAATCAAAGCTGATAAGGGTTGAATACCCAGAATACATAAAAAACTACAATGCAACAACAAAAAGACACACAATACAATTTTTAAATGGGCAAAAAACTTGAACAGTCATTCCACACAAAAAAATATACTAATGGCCAATAAGAACATGAAAAAAATATTCAACATCATTAGTCACTGTTATTATTAAGTGCCTTTGAGTCAATTCCAACTCAATAGAGACCATGTTGAAGTTTTCCGAAGAACAGTGACTAAGTTTGAACCACCAACCATGTGGTTCACAATCCAGTGCTTATTCTACAGTGCCATACCAGGAGTCCTAATTGGTCATTGTTGTTAAGTGCCATCAAGTCAGTTCTAACACACAGCAACCCTATATAGGATTTCCAAGGAGCAGATGGTAGGTTTGAATTGCCGACCTTGTGGCTCACAGTCCAGTGCTTATCCTATAGTGCCACACCTGCAGTCCAGTTAGTCATATGGGAAAAGAAAATTGAAATGTGATACTCCTTCATCCCCTACTATAGTTGGTTGTTGCTGTTAAGTGCCGTCGATTCTAACTCATAGTGACTCTGTATAAGGTTTCTGAGGTTTGAAATCTTTTCAGGAGCAGAAAGCGTCATCTTTTTCCCACGGAGTAGTTGTGGCTCAAACCACCAACTTCATGGTTCACACTATAGTACTAACTCTACAATCATGCTCCCATGTATTGTAGTAAATATATACATATTTGTTTACTATTTCACATTTTTTACACGTATGATCACATTAATGATCTCCACCGTGTTGTACAACCATCCCTACTATTCATTTTCAATTTTCCAATTTTCCATACCAGCATTTCAGGTCTTTCTCAGCAGTGACTCCCTCCTTTTCCCTTCTTCCCAACACGGCAACCGAAGTAACCTTTGGTCTCTATACATTTGCTAGTCTAGATCTTTCATGTATTTGGGGTCATATAACATTTGTCCTTTTGTGACTGACTTATTTCACTCAGCATAATGTATTCAAAGTTTCTGCACATACATTAGGGCTTCAATTGTGAACAATGTTTTAAACTTATGTTCAGGATTTAGAGAAAGAGCATTTATATGCACATTTATAAATTACACATAATCCTATCAAAGAAGTTCAATAAATCTCATTTCACACTAGATGACTCTCATGGCTTATTTTCATCAGAATTTAAAATTATCTAAAAGAATTCTAAGAAAACAAAATATACTAAGACAGGTCAGCATCGTACCTACATTCCGATGCTAAGTAAGCACAAAAGTAACGCCTGGGTATGATTCTCTATGACACTTTTTCTTCCCCTACCTGAACAGATGTCAGTTTATGTCTTATATTCACTAGGATAATTCGAGCTAATAACAGCAGTATAGGCTTTGAGGTCAGGCTGTAGATTGATTCACCATCTAGAATGAGCAGATTCAGAACAACTGCATCCAACTCTTTGGCCTGAAAAAAGAAAACACAAGTATAAGGTAAGATAATACAACTTAACAAAGTATTAATCCTTATATGTCTTAATCTCGTTGTTAAGTGCTGTCGAGTCAGTTCCAACTCATAGCGATACTGTATAGGGTTTCCAAGGAGCAGCTGTAGAGCTTGAACTGCAGACCTTGCAGTTCAAACCAACCTTGCAGTCCAGCGCATTAGCCCACAGCACACCAGAACAATATGACGATTTCCCAGTTAATTCAGCTTTGAAACAAAGACTTTAATCTATTACATTGGCATAGGACAAAATTGTAAAGCTGCAAATATCTTTTAGAAAAATTACAAAACAGAAAGTTGCCAACTTATGATAACCTCATGTGTTAGGATAGAATGAACTGTGTTCCACAGGACTTTCACTTACTGGTTTTTCGGAAGCAGATCCCCAGACATTTCTTCCAAGGTGCTGCTGGGAGGAATCAAACCTCCAGTCTTTCAGTTAGCATCTGAAAGCATTAATCATTTGTACCACCCCAGGGACTCCACAAATACCTTTAAAAAATAACAAAAACCGAACTCACTGCCATCAAGTCAATTCTGATTCATAGTGATCCTGTATATGGTTTCTGAGACTGTTACTCTTCATGGGAACAGAAGCCTCATTTATCCCCCATAGAGCAGCTGGTAGGTTTGAACTACCAACCTTGTAGTTATCAAATCAAGTGCTTATCCTACAGTGCCACCAGTGATCTACATATCCAGCCTAACCTGACAGATGGCCACACGTCTGCTTAAACTTTAGAGGAACAGGGAATGCAAGAAGTTGCTAGCATTGAAGAAGTATCATCGCTTTATAGAGTTATTATCTGAAAGACAAGCAGTCCTATGTTAAAGCATTTATATTAGATCACCCACACTTCACTTACGCTTTGATCATTGGCAAATGTCATTTAAAAGCATGTCTGCTCCACAGTGCCTAACAAGCCAAATACTCAACCAGGTCTTCCATATCAACTACTGAATAGGAACACAATCATAGACTATAGTGAAAAGAAACACACAAAAACAGAAGACAAATGTGTTTGGAAAATCCACTCCTTTGTTGAGAAGAGATTTTTTGACAATGGCCAACATACCAGTATCTCTCACATGTGGAATGCAAAATTTTAACAGCTGCCACAAAACAGAAAATAGCAGAGCAGAACTATTTGGAACATGGGCTTTGATGTCTCAGACTCAGATCAGCATCCCTCTCTCTATCTCTTATTGGTCTGTGGACGGGGGTAAATTTTTAAGTGAAATCTCACTTTCATCTTCTATAAACCAGAATGCTACAACATATGCCTCATTAAAAAGATTTAAAAAAAATAATCTAAGTAATGCCAGTGCCTGACCCAATACTTCACTGAATGTTCAATAAAGGCAAGAAGAAAGTAACTGTTGATTCAAGTTCAGTCCTATTACCTCACTGAGAAATGTAATCAAGGAATAAAGACAAGATGAATTACACTACCACACTACAAATTGTTAGGTGCCATTGAATTGATTCCAACTCACAGGAACCCTCTGTACAACAGAATAAAACATTACGTGGTCCTGTGCCTTACAATCAGCCCCTATGATCTTTGCCATGTTTACAACAATAAGCCTATTGTTGCAGTCACCGTGTCAATCCATCTCACTGAGGGTCTTTTTCTTTTACACTGATCCTCTACTTTACCAAGCATGATGTCCTTCTCCAGGGACTTTTCCCTCCTGATAACATATCTAAAGCATGTGAGAGAAAGTCTCACCATCCTCACTTATAACGTGTATCAGGTTGTATTTCCCTAATACAGATTGGTTTATTCTTCTGCAGTCCACAGTATATTCAATATTACTTGCAACACCATAATTCAAAGACACTAAGTCATATTTGGTTTTCCTTACTCATTTTCTAGTTTTCACATGCATGTGAAATGACTGAAAATAACATGGCTTGGGTAAGGTACACTACCTTGGTCCTCAAACTGGCACATCTACTTTTAAAACTTTAAAATGGTCTTTTGCAGCAAATATATCCAATGCAATTCACCGTTTGATCTCTTAACTGTTGTTTCTATGGGCACTGATTGTGATCCAAGTAAAAAGAAATCCCTGACAACATCATGCCGTTGATTATTGATCCACTTGTATGGATTTTTGTTTTCTTTATGTTGAAGCGTAATCCATACTGAAGACTGCAGTCTTTGATCTTCATCAGTAAGTGCTTCAAGTCCTCTTTGCTTTCAACAACCAAGGCCGTGCAATCTGCATATCCCAGGTTGTTAATAAATTTTTCTCCATTCTTGATACTGTAATCTTCATATAATCCAGCTTCTCCTATTATTTTCTCAGTCTACAGATAGAACACGTATGGTGAAAACCTACTACTCAAAATCACATCTTTCCTGATTTTATAACATTAGACTCCAGGTGAAGGTACTGAATAGACAAGAGAACATACTGAGTTATGAACTCAAAGAACTATCCCCTACAGTCTGACAGAAGCATGTACCTAATATGTAGATCTGTAGCCTCACTAAATCATCTTGCAGACTTAGAAAGTTATACTTAGAATAAACAATCTTTATTTCCTTAAACTGAAACAAAACAAGAAGATATAATACAGGCCTTTTAGAAAAAGACTCCTTATCCTAATCAAATTGAGATGAGAAATATGCCTACTTGTTAAAGGAGAAATATCAGATTCATTATCTTATAATAAAATCCCTAAACATGCACAATAAACAAGTAGTTTAATAAAAATTCTATAAATACATAAATGACACAGAAAGACAGCAGGATAGACAATGTAGATATCACTACTTCTGATACTCAGAGCCAGAGGTTGGTTACCAAACCTCCTACTCTTCAATTCAGAGCTCTCTAGAGATGGTATTAACAAGGCAAATTACAAATAGAAAATAAATAAATTTGTCATCCTAGTGTTGTCCTTAATCCATTAAAAAAAAAAAAATGAAACCTTTTCTATCCTTTGCTTTAGTAAATCAGTGCCATGCCTACTCCTATAATACTGACTCTTCACCTGAGTTCTAAATGTGCTTCCAGAGGTTTTAGCAAATAGTCCATTTTTAAAGAGGCCATTTTTATTTCCAATAAAAACAGACAAGATTACAACTCCCTTAAAACCAATTCCTCAGTCAATAAGCAAGAAACATATAAAACCCTGGGGGCTAGGGCTGAAAGTGAAGTGGCCAGCTACACTTAAGTGCAGGGAGGTGTGTGCACCAACTCCCAAACTTGCAGCTAGTACTCATTTAATCTAGCTTGTATGCCTAGCTGACCAGAACTCAACCAGATGAAGATAAAGAAGTCTGGTACTATGAGCAAGTGTAAATTGCTACAGTTTGATGAACTGGACTTTTGCTTATGGATACAGTTGCTCAAAATTCCAACCAGAATAGAAGAATTCTTTGTATCAAGAAATAAACTTGTGTGATGCCTGAGATGGAGCCAGAGACGATGATGTGGAGAGATAGAGCAACTGGGGACTTCAGACACAGAGAGGGAGAGGGGCTGTGTGCTGATGATCAGGGGGCTGGCTTGTAGTGTATACCCTATGGTTGGGTGATGATGCATGGAAGGGATTGTAACCATGGCAATGAAACGATATACAATAGGATGAATGTAAAACTAATATTCTCCCATGTAAACTATCACATAATTCACAATACAACATTTAATAAATAAATAAACTTGTGTCCTCTATGTACTGGCTTGATTGTTGTTGTTGTTATGTGCCGTGGAGTCGGTTCTGACTCATAGCAACCCTATACAGGGTTTCCGAGGCTATAAATCTTTAGGGGAGCAGAACGCCTCATCTTTCTCCTGCGGAACAGCTGGTAGTTTCGAACTGCTGAACCTGAGGTTCACAGCCCGATTCATAACCACTATGCTACCAGAACTCCTTACTGGGTTGATACAGATGGGCAATTTAGCCACTAGCTATCAAAAATGAGGGGTTTGGGGTTATAAAGGCATGAAGGCTGGTTAACAATCTTTCATGTATGTGCTTAATTTCAGAACAAGGGAGGTAAGGTAGAATCCCCACTGAAGAGTTTTCTTCTTCTCCAGAAAGCTCACGTGAAAGGGGATGTGGGATGATATTGATAGGATTTTAAGATTCAATTATAATTATTAGCTGGATTAATTGGGATTGTCACAACTATAATTGTATAAGATATGTAACTAAAAGTGGTGCGTAGTTAATCTTTCATTTCAGGAACAGACGATCCCAGAACCATCAAGAAGGAACAGCATAATAGAACATGAGATCCTACCTAGACAAGTGGCCACAGCAGAGCTGGTGGCAGAGGCAACTGCATGGAGAGATGGAACACTGAGGAAGATAGGCCCATGGGCTGAGTGAGTAACGCTGGATGCCTGGAGGCAGGAGGCTGGCTTGCAGAATGTGCCCTCTGGACATTTAAATGAATATATGTATTTTTTCTTTTGCATGTGTACATCAAATATTTTGCTTTGCTCATTTTTGAAATATAAGATTTAAAAGGAAAGTCACAGGGAGGAAGTTGGATCATTATTGTTTCAGGGAGGGGATTGTAATCATTAAAATGAAACAAAGCGTAGAATTTGTATGTAAAGCCCAAGATCTTATCTGTAAACCGTCACACAATTCACAATAAAGAGGGTTTTTTAAAAAAGAGAGAGAGAGAGAGAAACATATAAAATACTTATCTACTGATCTACTGGCATAGTAGTACATAAACATTCAACATCTGGGAGGTGAGACAAAGTAAAAATATAACCAGATTGCTGGTAAATTGGCTCTGACTCCTGATGACCTTATATGTAACAGAATGAAACATCTAGCCCTGCACCATCACCATGATCTTTGATATATTTCAGCACATTGTTAAGGCTGCTGTGTCAACTGAAGGCTTCCCCTTATTTTTACTGACCATCTACTTTACCAACTATGATGTCCTTTTCTAGTGACTGGTCCTTTCTGATAACATGCC